GATTTAGGCGTTTTGGCCGAAAACCAAAAAAGCACTTTTGAGTAATTTACGGCTGAAAATTTTCAGTGGTCAAATTTTCGGTGCATGCCTGCTCAACATGTTGTGATAGTGTTGCTTCGCTTTTGGGATTCCTCCAAAACGTTACACTTTGTTGCCGATGGAAGGGAAATTGTCCACCATAACAGCAGCTAATCGACATACAGTAAGTTTCGTGTCCATTTCGCAATGCTTTCACATCCAGTAGAAAGAAGGGGTTAGAAACCTATTCATACCAGCGTAACTCTAGGTCCTGTCTGACTGCACAAAGTATTGTAAAAGATCTAAAAAATCAATATGTCATGCAACATTATGAAGCCACTGTGGGCCTTGCATAGCTAAAGTTAAGGTCATAATTCAAGAATAAGAAAAATACATCCATGGAAGGGTTCCAAAACACCTGTATGCAAAAAAAGCAAAAACACCCATCTTACATAAACCGAACACATCTTGAAGATCTTCTAGACTTCTGAAAATACAAGCTGATGAAAACAAGCTGCAATGTTTTTTCGAATGTGTGTGTTCTGTTACATCTGGAGTAAAATGAACAACAAAACATTAGGCTACCAAGCATGGTGGTGGCAGTGTGATGGTCTGGCATTTTGTTGCTGCTTCAGGATCACAAAGTAGATGCCACAGCTGATTTCAAAGAGCACCATTCCTGGGCCTTCACCATTTTTATAGCCCACCCAATTTCTTTCTACAGAGCACTGTAATTGGCCAAACCTAAAATTAGTCAGTTAGGCCAGTTGAGGCTAGAATGGATGGTAAGTGGTAAATGGCCTGTATTTGATGTAGCACCTTCTAGAGTCCTGGAACCCCCCAAGGCGCTTTACAACACAATCAGTCATTCACCCATTCACACACATTCACACACTGGAGGGGATGAGCTACAATGTAGCCACAGCTGCCCTGGGGCGCACTGACAGAAGTGAGGCTGCCGAACACTGGTGCCACCAGTCCCTCCGACCACCACCAGCAGGCAACGTGGGTTAAGTGTCTTGCCCAAGGACACAACTACAGCGACAGACTGAGAGGGGCTCGAACCTGCAACCTTCCGATTACGGGGGGAGCACTTAACTCCTGTGCCACCGTCGCCCACTAGATGATATGGTTAGTCTAGATTTCCAGGCTAGAAAGTCCAGAAGGTCTGATTTTGACCTAGAACAGGCTGTTTAATTCAAATGCACAGTTCCCACCACCAAAAGTGTTGCAACCACTTAGGTCCAAGGGCAGGTTACTTTTTCACATGGTCCTAGAATTGTTTAGATAGCTTTTTTTACTCAGGTTACCTGGGTCTTTGTTTGCTGATTTGAAACATTCAATATGAAATCTGTATCAGCCTATCATACCACTGTATGTGCATTTATCCAATTCCTAACCTAAATATATTCCAGGAGGAACGAAGGAACATGCCTAACGGGGAGCATTCACATCTTATAGTCCTACTTTTCGCAACGCCCTCTTCCGAGACTACGTCCTTATTTATTTTCTTTCTGCAGATCGTTCAGGTTTATTTCGTGCCACCACTGACTTAAAATCCGAGCATGATGTATCTTGTGCCTTGCAGCCAGGGGAGTTGTTATATTTAGCGGCACCAGAACATCCAGTTTCAGAGCAGCCTGTGTCCATGCAGGGACAGTGGCACCCTTATGAGTAAGCATCTCGCTGTGCAAGAAATGAGAAACTTTGGCACCCGATGCATCGCCGGGTTACAAAATGAAGCCTGCCTCATCCAAGAGCATTAAGATGTGGATAAATAAATAAAACATTGCCACTATGAGAGGGGAGGCGGTGTGACAGCGGGATTTTTTTTCTTCTCTCCTTGCTTTCATGTTGGCAGGCACAGGCATTTTTTATTTTTGGATGAATCAAAATTTCCTGAAACTGCCTGCGCCAGGTGTATCTAATTATCTGACAGCGTATCCTCATTATAAATCAGCTCTTGGGAGTTGGCTACTCGGCTTGCTGAGCCTTTGGATCACAATCACGGTGTCCCTCACATCACAAATAAAAAAGGAGAATGTAGCCAAAACATTTCGATAGATGTACCGCCTATATATCTTTTTTTCCCCCCATTTTTACTGTCAACTGGCCGACGTTTGGTCTCCTCTTAATGCTTGAGCTGCACATATCTGGCAAACATGAATTTATACAGGAACAGAGTCTGGCAGGCATCTATGAATTTATTATCAGTCTCTTGCCATTTAAGCTGTGCCCCGATTATGTCACCTGGATAAGTTCATAAACCATAATTTTTTCTCCAGAGAAGTGCAGCAAGCTCTGTAAAAGTGGAGGCGCTGTCAGCATAGTCACAGAGAAGAGCACCCTACGTTAAGGCATAATTAATGAATGATTTGCAGGCGTGCATCGTTCTGACTGGAACTGCTGGCTCTGGGCTTCTGCGGGGTCACTGTGAGTCAGCTTGTAACTCAGAAAACTCATATTTAGGAAGTGGCTGGTGTGGATTTGGGCAATAGTGTTTATGTTCAAAGAACATTTGGAGGAAATCAAACTGTAGAATGTTGTCAGATTTTAAAAACAGACAAAACTTGAAAGCTTGAGAATATGAGTGGCAGGTGTGGCAGGTCTTGCTATGGCAACTGAGAAAATGACCAAGAAATAAAATAAAGTAAGACATGCATACTCATAAACACACTAAATATTCATCACAATCTTTCCCCCACCTTCGATTCAATTCAATAATAATGTAATAAACCTCTTTTGTACAGGGTGCCAGTTGAAAAGTAATGCATTCAAAAATTAGCATTTAGCTTCAACTAAAAACTAAATATTTCATTCAAAGACATTTAGAATAAAATTTAAATGTGAACTGTTATGTAGCTGTTGAAAGAAATGTTGCCGTTTTAATCCAAACACTCAGCTAGCAAGCTAATGTGTGTTGCCGTAAAAACATAAATGAACTAACCAAACTAAATAAAACATAGGTCAGAAGATCTTCAAGATAGTATCTCAAGAGTATTTGATAGGTCTATCTAAACTTGTGAGACTTGTGATAGTTAATTAGTAGTTGAAAGGTGTTACAAAAATAGGTGTATATATATATATATATATATATATATATATATATATATATATATATATATATATATATATATATGTATATATGTATATACACACACACCTATTTGTGTGCTTGCTCAGTATGGGGATTGCTGTAAAGTCCCTGGCACTAGTCAGTGACTCAATACAATCTGCTGGAGTTTTCTTACAAATTAAACTTTTCACTAATTGGCATAATGAACTGAACTCAATGCACCGAGTAGTAAATTCAGTTGGAATGTTTAAAATGCTTTGAGATGACTCTTGTCATGAATTGGGACTATATAAATTAACTAAATTGAATTAGCTTTCACTCTCAATAAATACATTTAAATGATTGTTTTAGAGGTGAGTACCAATATTTAGGTTATATTTTATGTTAGATTTGATTATAAATACATCAGTGTATTGCTGTTTATTAAGGTATGATTCTAAATGTTTGATTTAAATAAGGGCAATATTTGGATTTGAAAAGTAGTACAGAGGAATTAATTATCACACTATTAATTGTCACACTATTTGATTTAACTCCAAATATTTAGATTTTTTGTTTTTAAAAATGATTTACGATAACATAAAAAAATAATTATATGAGTTTGATATAAGTTTACATTTCTATTTTGATTCAGATATGTATTTAGATTTAATTTAGAACAAATATTTAGATTCACCTCTATAGCCTTGTATTTATTACTGAAATATTTAGATTTAACTCTATACATTTTGATTAGATTCATAACTTGTTTTTAACACTATTCAGTTAGAAGGTCTTATCGATCAAATAAATGAAAATAGGAATTCTTTCTCATTATTGTTGAGACAATAACAAAATATAAAATAGGGCAAAAATAAGATATCCATACACATAAAAAACACAAAATTACCATCACACTCTTTCTCCCCACATTTAATTCAGTTCAGTTAAGGTAAAATGTCTTATTTATCAAAAAATTGGATAAAAATCTGTGTTTATCCCATGTTTAACATTTTTGAGGATTGACGTGTATCATAAAGAAGCATTGCTATATTATTTTTAAATTTGATCTAGGACATTTCACTTCACAATCAGCGCCCCATACACCCTGCACGCCTCCATGGCAGCCTCTAATGCCATTACCTCTCTCCTCCATGGTCATACTCATTTAGCCCAGCGTCACTCTACACTGGCCAGGGAAGACGCATCTGTCTGGCTCTGTTAGCAGCCCTCATTTACAATCACTTCTCTTCAGCTTGCTACAAAGCACTGGGGCACACAAACTTTCCAGTTCATTATCTTGCATTTTAAATGGGCTTTCCATTTTCCCCTCTTTTTTCTTCTTCTTCCACTTTCTCAGAAGCACAGTTCTGGCAGCAAATCATGGGTAATTGGCTGTATATGAATCACTTATCAGTGGAAGTCTTACAAATAAGCCAGTTGGAGGAGGTAGGGAGTGTTTTTAAATTACAAAACATCTATATTTAGAAGATGGAAGAGGAGGGAGAGGAGGACATAACAATTGTGCTGACACACTAATCTGCTGCCAATCAGCTGTCAAATGTGGCATCAAAGCCTGTCAGATAAAAGCAGGTAGAGTGGATGAGTCACAGCCCTCCCACCGTCTGCATCACCCGAGTCAGGAGCCCAACCAGCCCAACACTGACCGCAGCGCATCCTTCCTTTTATAAACTTTCTCCACAACCAACCATATAGTTTGTTTTAAGCAGAAGTAGAGCCAGAGCAGAGTGGTGTCCTGCAAACAGATCTCGCCAGAGCAGAAGCAGATCTGGATGCGCGCTGGTTATCCACCAAGCGTGCGAGAAACGCGCGCATAAAATCCACACAGAATATCAAAATGAGCCCATTAAGTAAATAAAAACAACCCGCACAGCGCTGTTTGGAGATGCAGGAAAAAAGTACTTACTGTATACCCCGGCGGTAGGACGGAAAGCCCCGGATAACTGTAATTAAAGCAGACGAGACGCGCCTGTTTTATTAGAATAAACTATATTATATATTTATATATAAACACGAGCACTCACCAGAGCTGTGAGGATAAATTCCTTGGGAAATTCCAAAGGAGTCTCTTCTTTTCTTCTCTCAGAGTCAGAAAACAGCGATGGTTTCTCTTATTCCCAAAAAAGAAATGATGTGAAAACACACACACATACACATACACACACACGCGGGCCCCCTGGTTCAACTGAAAGAGAGAAGACACCAAAAAGAGCGACAACAAATTCCGTTAGAACCGGGAGTCCAGCCCTCCCTCCCTCACCCGCTTCCACAGCGGCCAAAAAAGTGTTGACATAACATCTGAGAAGAGTAGCAGAGAGAAAAAGACAGCCCGCTGATAAATTGGCGGAATGGACAAACGATACCTGCTCTCTTTATCACTGTCGGCAAAGACAATGAGAGCGGCAAAAAGACGGACGGGAAACTGAGGGAGCTGAGCTTTTTCTTTGGAAACGCAGTCCCAGCATGCTGTCAGCTCCAAGATGCACTCTCAAACGCACACAGGAGAGGGGAGAGGAAGGAGGAGAGGAGAGGAGAGCGGGATGCTGAGCTCTGATCAGCTGCAGTACCTCTGCTGGCCGCGTGGTGGCCAACTGGCCGACCTGCCACATGAGTTCTGATTAAACAATTAATTCGTTTTGAAAGCTAAATTAGTTTAATTCGAAGATAATTTTGGTATAAAGGCAATCAAATACAAACATATTAAAATAGCAGGGGTGGTTCTAGGAGGGGGCCAGAGTGGACCAGTGCCACCCTGAAAGCAATGTTGGACCCCACTCTGCCAATTGCACTAAATGAGTTGTTCCTACTAGACTCAGCAGCTGATATGTCAGCAGACGTCTCCTCACAATGCCCACCAACCCAACGAGCACCGTGATATGGCAGTTGGGTACATTTTTCAACATCTGTCACTACACTGCAATGAATATTGTAATGACCTGGATTGTCACATATACAAATAATTAATTACAACTGCCCCCATGCAGCACTCTTCAAGCAACATTCAACTTATTCAGTACCTGGCAACTTTAAAAACAAGCGGATGCTCTTGCTTATGGCTTTTAGGTCATGGAGCAGAATGTGATATTGGAGTCCAAAATACCTGGCAGCACCCTTGAACATACACACAATAAATAATTACCAACTTTTCACAGACATGCTGAGTTGTAAGTCTTATAGACCCCTTGAAAGTTAATGTTTACAGCTGGGTAACTGCCCACATCCGCACAAAACTGGAGGGCAAGAGCTGTATCTCCACATTTAAAGCTAACATAATTAAACCTAGGGATTTAGATATCACTACTTTAGAATATAATTAGTTAATAAGCTATGAGATGACAGTCCTCAGAACATGGACGTAGTTATTTAATTTTTTTTTTCAAAGTAAATTCTTGTCCCCTGCACTTTTTACCATACCAAAACAATATTATGCTATGCTAAACAGACACTGGTTAAGCACTGGGACCAAGCAGAAAACAACCGCTTGCATTGAAGCCTGTTTCCCATCAGAACCATTCATAAGGTCATCTATTGGCTCTGCTGATACTTGCCGTAATCGGAAGGTTGCAGGTTCGAGCCCCGCTCAGTTTGTCGCTGTCGTTGTGTCCTTGGGCAAGACACTTAATCCACCTTGCCTGCTGGTGGTGGTCGGAGGGACCGGTGGCGCCAGTGCTCGACAGCCTCGCCTCGGTCAGTGCGCCCCAGGGCAGCTGTGGCTACATTGTAGCTCCTCCCCACCAGTGTGTAAATGTGTGTGAATGAGTACAACGTGTGATTGGTTGTTCCTGCCACCTGTGTGCTTGACAGTTCTGCATTCCTGACAAATAAAATAGACCTTACATTATACGTAGTTTTTGTATCCTTACTGTGTACTGCGTTTCTACTTGTTGTGGTTTTAAAAACATGTCCAAGTCATTTAGAACAGAGGTAGGAACCGCTGCGAACTCCGCTTCAGATGCCATGTTTATGAGAAACTTAGCGTTGCATTGAGTGAATGATCTACGCTGCTCAGCGCTGACTGGCTCAGTTATAATTCTCAGGGGGTGGGGTTATTTGAATAGAAGCGTTCCCACCTCCATGCTTCCCATAAGGCAGTGGCTGGTCAGGCTCTATTTTATCAGCTGGAAACTTGTGAAATGTAACTTTACTGTGCTTCGTTTGATTACTTGTGCAGCCTACAGCTCTGCGTGTGTTAACCATGCTGATAGATTTTATTTTGATGCTATTTAGCTCCATTTATTGACAACTAACAAATAAAAACAGCAGTGGTCAACAGGGAAGTGATGGCTTCTTGCCTTCCAGTCAGAAGCTGGGAGGTGTGGGCATGTGTCAAGGGGTTTATACAGAGTTTTGAGTTATTGAGATTTTATAAATGTAGTTTTTGAAAACATAATCTTAACAACCTTACCACTTAAGCAAACAATTTTAGGGAGCCATTTGAGGGGTTCTGGACCCCAGATTGAAAAGCGATGATGCAGCCTAATACAATGGAATACAGTGGAATCAAAGTATGGGAATTAATTTATATGAAAGGAGATGCAGAGACAGGGCCTTTCAGTTTGTTACTGTATATTTTTTTCTTGCAAAATACTTACTGATACTTTAAAGTGACAGTGTGTATTTTTTTCCTGGCGATAGGGGACAGTAGATACCAAGCAAGCAGTCTTTTTTATGTTGAAGTAAGACCTTACCAAGGAATTCCCATTAGGGTCAAAAAGCCATGGGGAGTGCAAACGTCCGCTAAATAACAAGTGCAACAGGCTCCCTTTCATCACTGGCAACAATTGGAGCTCACTATGTAAAATGGTTTTGCTAAAGCATCTAGACTCCATTCCGTCATTTCACCCACTACATTCAATCACTCCATCCATTACATTCCATCATTTCATTCATACCTTGTCTTGTATAATCATTAGTTTAGGGAAATAAATAAATGAATTTTTATAAACGATATACGTGACTCTGTCTGAATTAATATGAAGTGTGTATACGGTCCCTGAATAAGTAGAAGAAACTAAAGTCTTCTGATTAAACACTCAGCTTATTTGGTACACACTTTACTGTTTATTGGTGTTATACGTGTTACTTTGTGGCAACTATATTATCAGAAGACCACTTTTGCGGTCTCATCACTTCTAGAGATTTGTGTCAAACTGGTACCAGATCAGCTGAACCATTTACATCCAGATGAAGATCCAGAGGAAGTCAGTTTCCCATCACATTAGCTGTGTACTTCAGCTCGATTAGAATCAGTCTGATTTCAGCCAGATTAGTGTGTTGAAATTCATTGAAAAAACAGCTTCAGTCGACACAAAGAATTAGTGTTGTTCACTGATGCCCCATGCAAATACACTGACTGTTGCTAGCTACTTGAATTAGTGTTGCTAACAGTGGTGGATCTAACAAATGTACAAGGGGGCAAATGAGGCTACAGATATCTAGGCAAGGAGCTCGTCGTTGAAGTGAAAATGTGAAAATCCCTGATATCTAAGTGGAGTCAACAAAATGTCAACAAAAACTCTTTAAAACTATTTACTGTCATTACTTCCTCTAAGAATACATGTTTAGGTATAAATAAGAAAAACAGTGTTTCACAAAATAAATATTGAAGACACATTTTTGAAAGTACTGAAATTATTACACAGATTTCATCCGTCACTTTTTGGACAAATTAAGGTTTATTTTAAGGACATAAAATAGGGAGGGCAATCAGAGTGGGGAGTGCAATGTTTATACCCCCACCACCTGGCCTGGGAACTCTCCTGTTCAAATCCCCCCCCCTCTGTACATAGAGAAGGAATCTGGCAGGCAGGCTACCCACCACCAATGTGGTTTGGCTCAAGTCGATGATCAAGGAGGGTTTTTTAGCACAAGATTCCAGTAAAGGGGCTGAATTAAACATTCAAACATTCTTTTTACAAATGTGTTTTGTTTTCTAACAGATAAATTAGCATCAAACTCATCTCTGTGTACGTCTGGGGTGGTCAATATGTGGCCCACGGGCCATTTGTGGCCCTCTGAGTGATTTTGTTTGGCCGTCAACTAATTATAACCCTAACCCTATTTTCATCTTCATTAATTTAATAACACTGATTTTAAATACACTGATAGTATTTTAAAAGGCATAGAGGAAATAAACTGTGGCAATGATTTTCAAATTTACATTAATCAATAACAATCTTTTTTCGACAGTCACAGAATTATTATTAAAATATTTTAATCATAAATAAGTAAGAAAATAATCCAATGAATGCACATAAATGTGTTCAGGTAAAATTATAAATGACATACAAAATATCTATTTTTAATAATGGAACTTTTTAGTTTCCAGGCATTTATAAATACCCTTCTATAACTGTTTTATTAATTAGTTTTAACAAGCAAAACAGAGCTCTTCAGCATTTATTTTTACCTAACTATAACACCTTAAGTCACAGGAGGGGGAAGCCGTTTTTACACTACATTAAAAAAATCGCTATTTGGTGAAAGAGAGAGACAGCGAGAGAGATGAAACACTGTACCGCTTTTAATCCTCTTAAACTGCAGCCCTCTGCTCTACTTGAATGCTCTTCTTGGCCAAAGTCTTTCCTCCCACTGTGACGGACCTGTTGATGTACCACTGCACCGAGCTGAGACAGTCGCCTAAGAACTCGTGTCTATGCTTAAAACTTCCCAGTCCAGAGGTGGAAATGTCAGAATGTTAATATATTCCTCCAGGGCTTTTTGTAGACATTTAGCACAGAATGATTGGACATATTTTGACACAAGATGTCTAAAATACAGTTTTTTGTTCAATCTTGAGCCTCAGAATAAAAAGCAAGACTGTGCTTTTATTGTTTTTATGCACACATATGTAACATACTGTTCAGTGACTTCTAATGAGGTGACAAAACCTTAAACATAGACAAAGCCTTTGTTCTTTTTTTAATTAATTATTTTGGTTAATTATGGCTTGTTTGTATCGCCACTAGTCAGACCATCAAGTGGTTTAAAGAGGTTAACAGAAGCTATATATATATTATTATTATATTTACCACTGAAAACAGTTCTTTTCATGCAGGAATGCTGTATTTCTAAAGTGCTCTTGACCTTTTTTGAACATGTAGTGAACTTTTCATCACCAGAGCTTCCTGAAAGTCCCCTCCTTTACAAGTTGATTTGCTGCTTTGCAATCTTTTTCATTTGAAAGAGCAGTACCAATGTAACAATGGGATTTTCTATAATTAACACTGGATACACTTTGCTGACACTCTCAATAATTAATAATTAGATTTACATAGATAACTGATTAAGTTTTGGTATTAATCAATTTCAAGTAAGCTGCCATAGTCAACAAATAGCTGTAACTCAGTCAGTTTTACTGATATTGAGCTAAAAATTAATACTTATTCTAGGTGCCAAGCATTGCACATCCGCTTTGTCAAAATCTTTATAGCCTTTGGTTTGATTGACAACAGATGCAGCGCGGAATGCTTCATGCGCATCCCAGAAGCGTCTTGCTTTGTGAGAAGAGGGTTTGTGAGGTTTTTTTTTTGTTGT